CACAACTCTTGAAATCCTCATTAATTGAATAGCTAAATAAAATAATTGATTTATAAAGAAGATTATAATTCCTATTAGAAATATAGAAATAATAATTAAGATCCAACTGAATAGCTTAAAGATTTTAATATTACTACTCAAGCTAATGAAATTACAATTACTAAAAAAATATAACTTGTCTATAAATATCTAGAAGATACTACTATCTTGTAATATAATAAAAAAAATAGAGATAATAGTACTTGATTAATAATATAAAATAATAATAATAATTACATAATTTTTGTTATCAATTTATTACTTATTTCCAGATTAGAGAAAAAATAGACCAATGATAAGATAAAATTAAAATCTTATAACAGACTGATATTATTAATAAATACATAGATAAATTTATCAATCTACTTTATAAAATAAATAGATATCTGAAAGAATATAAAATTAGAACTTATAAAAAAGAATTCAAATCAGAAATTAAAAAATAGATACAGATTTTTGCTAATAAAACTTTCCTAAATATAGTATAAGTTACTAAGAATATAAAAAAAGCTAATGTAAATATTTTAATTTGAGAATATTATCAATTTTAAATATAGAATAATTTATACTAAATACTATTTTGATAATATTACAAGATCTTAATCAGCAAATAAAAAATATTAAAATTAGTAAAAAATCAAATTACAATAGAAATAACTCTAGTTATCAGTTTAATAATTAAAATCCTAAATCAGTTTTTATCTATTATAATTTTAATAAGTCAGATTATATTTATTCTAATTGTTCTTAACTATAATCCTATAGAAATAATTAGAATAACTTTGAAAATAATTATTAAAGAATAAATAAAAATAATTAGTAACAAAATAATATATTTTCAAATTAGTCTAATGCTAATAATAATCAAAATATATTACTAGCTTAAATATAGGCTCTTACTGATAGTATTCAGATATTAACTGTTAAATTAAATAATATAAATTTACAATTTAATACACATGAATACTTAACTGCTAATAGAAAAACCAGAAATTTAAGAGCTATTTCTTATGAAATCAGATCTGTAGATTGATTCTAAAGAGAAATTGCTAAAGATAATATAGAACCAAATACTATTAAAGAAGAATAAGAAGATATCTCTGAAATTATTCTTAACAAAATATAAATAATACTGAACTATTCAAAATACTTGAAGAAAAACTTAATAAAAAGATTATTTGCAAAAAAAAAACAAAATTACTTTATTTATACTTACTATCATGACTAAATTATATGATATTTTAAAAGATTTAACTTAATAAAAAGCAAATATTACAGATATTTAATTTATTTAAAGTTTATTTTCTTAAAAAACTTAATTATTAAAAGAAATATGCCAAGCTATAATGCTCAAGTAGAAAAGAAAAAGAAAAGTAATACTTAAATAAAAACTCAAAACTAATATGAAATTAAAGTTGAAAAGAATATTATTAATTTGATTATTAATACTGATATCTCTAAATATATCACTATATATAACTTTATTAAAGATAAAGAATTGAAACTATATACAGTTCAAATATATCTATATCTAATATAAATAGAATATTTAAATAATTTCTTGAAGCTATTAATAATTTACTTTTGAATATTAATAAAATCATAATTCTAATTAAAATAGATATTACTGAAGTCAAAATATATTTAGAAATAGACTTTTTAAATAAAATCAAAGTTAATATTGATATCAGAAAAGAATTTCTTTTGAATATAATAATTAAAAAGGAAAGATATCAATAAAATTTATTTATGATGATAGAAGAGATTCTATATTTGATAAAACAAGTTCTGAAGAAAATAAATCAGAAGAAGATTCTGAAAGTAAATTTGAAAAGTAATATTTAGAAACAAAAATCTTTCTCATATAATAATATAATAATTAGAATATCACAACTTTTAGAAAATAAAAAATTCAAGATAATAATAATATTAAAATCATTATCAAAGAAATTTGAACTCCTATTAAAATTTCTAATCAAAATCTAAAAGATGTTAATTTTGGAAATATATCTTTTTAAATTATTCAAAATATTAAAAAAATTTATAAAATACAAGTCTATTAAGAAGAAATTAAAATCAGATAAAAAAAATATACTTAAAAAGATTATAAATAGCTTAATAAAAAGTTCTTACAAAAATATAATTAGAATAATCAATAATTATTAATGATAAGTATCTAATAGTTAATATTGATATTATAAAAATCTTTTTATATCTAATTATTAATATCACTAATACTATAATAATCTTGTTAACTGAATAACTATTAAAATTTATAAATTATTTTATATAGAATTCAAAACAAATAAAGACTAGACTGATAAATAAGAACTTTTTATTAATAATAAAGTAAAAAAAAGTTTTGATTTCTATCAATTTATTTCATAATAAATTTATCCTAATTCTCAAATTGAAAGATACAAAGAATATAAGAAATATGTAGATAAATATTATACTGAAACTTATTTCAAGATAAATGGAGAAAAATCAACTGATTGTGATAATTATATCAAAGAAAAATAATCAATATTTTTTGGTTTAATTATAAAAGATGGAGAAAGAATACCAGATAATTAGTAAATTTAAAAATGAGTATTATTACTAGAAGTCTATAATGAATATAATAAAATTAACAAAGTAATTTTATCTCACTTTATATATAAAGATGATTTCATGAATAAAATCATCTATAAGAGTTCTGTAAAAGTCTTTGCTACTTATATATTTATCAATAACTCAATCCTAATTGAAAATAATAACTTGCTACTTAAATTATATCAATATTAAACTCTGTTTTTATTATATAAAATTTTTACAAATAATATTTTTTTTTAATTATTGTTAAATTTTACTATATAAAATTTGATTAAAATTAATATAAAAATTATATAGTAAATAATTTAATTACTTAACTTTGAATCTTTATATCTTTATAACTACTAATTCAATTATTATGAAATTTAAAATATATATTTATCAAATCTAGAGCAACCTGCTTGTGTAATTTAAAGTTTTAAGTATTGCAAATTGATAGTAATAATATTTAAAATATCTTTTTTTAAAAAATAATTTTATTTTAGTTTTTTTTTAGTAAAGTAATTCTTTATTTATTATTGAATTAAAGTATAATAAAATAGTTAAAATAGTATAAAAAGTTAATTTAGATCATTTTTTATTTAATATAAAAAATTATAAAGATTGGTTAAAATTTGAATGATTTTTATTAAAAGTAATTATTGATTTTTATATTGAGATACAAATTTTTTTGCACTGATTCATAGAATTATTTAAATTGATAATTAAAAATTTCCAACTTTTTAAAATAAAAAATCAATATAATATTTCAAAGATTACTTTTTATAAAATATTAAAAATAATAAAAATATTCTTTATAAATTTCATAAGTTTCTCAGAAATTATATTTTTATTAAATTAAATCTAGTTAATTATTATATTAATTATTATATTATATTTATCAAAAATAAAAAGATCATGTGAAAACTAAAAAAAGTATTATATTAATCAAAAAATTATTATAAATATAATATAAATTGGATAAAAAAACAAAATTCAAAAAAGAATTAATAATAAATAAATATAAAATTATACTATTTTATAATAAAATACTTTACTTGATTCAGAATAAACTCAGAATAAAACTAAATCCAAATCTTTAAAAATTAATAAATCAAATATCAAAATTGCACTATTTTGTGTTGATTTATAAATATAATCAGATCTTTCTATAGTTATTACACCTGAAAAAGCAAAATTAGATGATTATAAAGAGATATTGAACTGCTTGTTTGGAAATATTAAGGTTTATATGTGTTATTGAGTCTTGTTATTATTTAAACAGCAGTGATTGCATTATTAATCCTTATAAGATTGATCAATATAATAATATTTATTGGAACTGAACAACCAGGAATGGGTAAAGTATCTATTAAGAGCACTTCTTTTATTTTCTTCTGTTTCAGGTGCTTATTCGGCCCATTTTGGCTGCTCCTGCTCTTATTAATAATTATAGTGGGTTAGGACCATTTGGAATCCGCACATCTTGTCGCAAGAAACGGTTCTGAGTAACAGTATAATCGTCTATTAAAATCATGTAATTATGTATCGAATGAAAAAAGATTAGAAATTATAGTTTATGACTGGCTTTTAATTATGTAGGTTTAACATGGATAATAATAATGGGCTCTATTTTTAGATTTGAGTTGAAATTTTACGCTATGGATTGGATTTATCTATAGATTCAGATCGAGTATTGCATTCTCAAATCGCTCGAAGTAAGTTGATAGTTTTTTATTTGTGGTAATCTGCTAACTTATCGATCAAATATAGAAAAAGTTACTTGATACCGTCTATTTTCAAACAACATGAAAAGGAAAAGACGACAAATTATATTGAAAAATGAAGCAGAGCTAAATGTCAACCGCTCACCCTAAAATAAAACGTTATACATGAACAGAAATATATTATTCCGGGCTTTTTTTTAGCATATTAACATATGCAATGTGACACAGATCTGATCGATTTTTATGGTTGCTTGAATGTACGAGACATTTGGTATATTGTAGATGACAAGAAACCTCAATATGTTAATGCTAAGGCAATTTCTGTCTGTTCGTCCAAGGATGCAGATTTAACAACAAATTGATCATATCGATATTGCGTGTGAATGTTAATTTGATCACGATGATATATTGTGTGTGAATGTTAATTTGATCACGATGATATATTGCGTGTGAATGTTAAATTTGTTGCTCATTTGATCACGATGATATATTGCGTGTGAATGTTAATTTGTTGCTCATTTTATACCATATCACATGATACTACCCCAAAAGGGAATTTGTCCAGCGATAAAAGCTACGCTGTGCAATTCAAAAAATTTTATCATTCTTGTTTCAATATCGTTCTTTGTTTCAATATTGTTCTTGTTTCAAAATTGTAAAATGAACTATAACACCAACGCTCAATCTTACGGAAGTCCAAAAAGCCGCGCCTCCTATACCGCTCAAGAGGAGGCAGAATTGAGAGAATATTTAATACAAAAAAGAAGAGAAGGAATGCCTTTGCGCGGCAACGTCATATATCGGACTTATCCTAGGGCAAATGTTCGTCACCCTTGGCAATCTATTAGATCTCACGCAATAAAATTTATTTTGCCAAATTTACCTCCTGAACGCTCCGTTGTCACAAACATGGCGAATGAAAGAACGAGTGCCTCAACAACGAAACAAATACGAAATAGCGACTTACAAGAGGAAAGAAGCTCTAGAGTCACACCAACACGTCCCGTATACAACAACTATATGGAGAGTCAAGAACAGAGTAATGTTATAAGCCCTTCAAGACAATCATCCATTACTCTTGATGATGGACAATCTATTGCAAATGAAAATGATAATAGTGAATCTCCAAAAGCATTTACTAAAGATGAAGTGAAAATTTTTCGTGATTATCTTATTTCTCAAAGAAATGCAGGTGAAGGACTATACGGGTTTTTAATTTATAGATTTTATCCAGGACTGCATGAACATTCATGGATTTATTTACGAGAATATGCTATAAAGCATATTATTCCAAAATTGCCAAACAATGATGGACGTACAAGGACGAATAAAAATGTAATTAATAAGTTACATACAAGCACCTCAGCATCTACATTAGGAAAAAGGCCTGCTACCCCAGATAATGGCGTTGATAGCAAATGGAAGAAGCGGAAGCTATCAATCAAAAATTGAAAAAAATTAAAATAATTTTTGTTAATTATATTAAAAAGTTATATATGTTTATAATACAGTGCGTTACAAAAAAAACCATAATTACTATTTTTACTTATATTCAATGAATATTTATTTAATTCATATAAAA